TGAGAGGTTAAGTGACGTATACAGCTTCAGCTAGTTAATAATCAGGAGGAAAACCCTTTGCCACCTGCAAACTACCTTGCCCTTTCATCTTCTGATGCCCAGCATTTTACCATTATAAGTTTATTCCTAAAGCTTAAGGCATTGGTCATCTTTAATTCCAAATGCCTCCAGGGAAAGTCATATTTAAACTAGTGTCAGTCACTGATACCTGCCACTTTTATGTACATAAATTTAGAATCTTTTGCTGAATTAATTTAAAAGTATGGAGATGTTAAAGGAACTGGGGCCTGAAAGACTGAGAAGACATCCTAGAATGGGGGAGATGTGAGAAAAGCTCCATCTGACTTCTAATTTAGTCTCAGGCCACTGCCTTCACCGCCTGGTGATTTCTGAAAATTCTCCATTAGAGGCATCTTGTAACACAGGAGACCCATCTTGTCACCAGATCTGTCACCAGCAGTAAGGACAGGGGAAAGAGCAGCTGAGCCTCTGCACTTTTTTGTAATGGAACCTCAACCATCTGGCTCAATGGGTTTCTGGCTTCTCCACGGAGACAGCATTTAGATATTTAAACTTTAATGTGAGTGACTCAGGAATAGTTTTGCAGACAGCATCAAATACCTCTTCTCACCACTGGAGCAAGAAGCCACGAATGGCCAGCACTGAGGTTCTGACCAGGCAGGGAAGGGCACTCATGCCTTTGACTCTTGTGACCTAAGCCCCAGTATTGTGCTAGGCATGTGCTGTACCAGGTGCCAGGGCCTGGGGATGCTAGGAGGAGCAAGGCGTGCTTCCTGCCCTTGATGAGCTCATTGTCTAATGAGCCCTCTAAGTACTGGGTGTTGGACAGCAGAAGCCCAGGAGTTGGTGGAACCAGGAAGAGCTGCCAGACTCACAGTTCTAGGAGAAAGGAGGGCAGAGTCCAGGAGAGCTGGGATAATGCCCCCAGGAGCAGGTGACACCCAATGAGCTCCACTGTAGGGCGGAGGTTACTTATCCTCTGCCCATGTCTATATCTACTGGTGAGTGTGTGGGTGGTGGTGAGGATATAGGGAGTGGTTAAAGAAGGACTGGTCAGCACTTTTAGGCCAGCGGGAGAGGCAGAATCTCATAGTTCTCCTTGCTCCTGCCATTCTGTGTGTGTCTTGCAGTTCCTAACCCCCTATTCTTGGGCTTTCTATGGGGCCACTCCTTTCTAACAAATGAAGGCAAGAGTCAGGGCCCCAAGGAGGAGGAGCTGTGAGCCAGTTCCTCATCTCACTGCTGGATGATTCCTTTCCAAAAGGGAAAGGTGCCCAGGAAAACTGTGGCTGGGATAGCTCTGGGAATTAGGACTCAAGTGACAAGAGAGGAGACAGAAGAGCTCTTCATGGTGTTTCCAAGTCTGAGTATAAAGACCACAGGGCAAAGAGCAAGAAAGAACCTGACTAGGACATTTTGGCCATGTCCAGGGAAAAACTGGAGGGTGGAGGAGTGACGGATTTAGGCAGAAAAGGCTGGTGAGTGGAGAATGGATGAGGCAGGAAGAGCAAGGCAAAGGAACCAAAGAGAGTCAAAATGGTCCATGACAGAGGGAAGAGCATCCCATCCCAATGCAAGGTGGGGAGGTCTCCATGGCAACGCATCCATCGCCTTCTCAGTAATTAACCAGTCTCTGTATACATAGAGACATAATTATAGGCAAAACAACTCCTTTGATGTAAGAGTATAGAATGTCTGGGGGAAAGCAAATAAAAGAAAGAACAGTCTCTCTTTAATAAACAAACAAGGTACCAGGCATGGTGGTTCACACCTGTAATCCTGACACTTTGGGAGGCCCACGCGGGTGGATGGATCACTTGAGATCAGGGGTTCGAGACCAGCCTGAAAACATGGAGAAACCCCATCTCTATTAAAAATACAAAATCAGCTGGGTGTGGTGGTGCATGCCTGTAATGCCCAGCTACCTGGGAGGCTGAGGCAGGAGAATCACTTGAACCTGGGAGGCAGAGGTTGTGGTGAGCCAAGACTGCACCATTGCACTCCAGCCTGGGCAACAAGAATGAATATCTCTGTCTCTCTCTCTCTCTCTCTCTCTATACACACACACACACACACACACACTCCACTGAAAGATATTACCAGACAAGCAAATAAACCAAATGAATAGAAGGTTGGGAAAGCAGAACCCAGGCTGACTGGCACCCAAGATATCCTGGGCCCTCTGAGAGCATTCTAGCTGACTTTGGCATTTGTGCTTTTCTTTCAAAGAGTTCACATGTGTTCTCATAGAGTGGCTGTTCTCATCCCCTACCTGTTCTATGCATAAGTTCTCAGCATTTCCAAAGAGGCCTGTTTACTTCTAGAATCAAAGCCCCAGAGAAAGGGGGGTTGCAAAGGATTTGAATGGCTCCTCCTGGGAAGCAAATCTAATCGGGAATGGAGCTGAGCTTGTAACCCAGCGTCCTGGATGCCTGTCCTGTGATATAACCCCTGAAACACCGCTCTTTCTGTTGGGGCCAATTTTATTAGAGAAATCTGTTAATTGGGGGACGGAGAGGGAGAAGGGAGTGAGCAATGGGATGTTAATATGATTTAACACTTGATGGGCTCCAAAAACAAATAAGGAAGGGGCTTCGGGCTTTAGCTTGGCACATTTGTCGTTCCACACACGTGTTACCAAAATGAATAAATGCAACTAAACTATATGCAAGACTCTGGGGGCACAGTAACACAGACTTTGTGAAACAAAGACGCGTTTCTCCTGCTTCCACTGTGTCTCTTGTGGTGCCATTGTCTGATGCTAAGAACTCACATAATAACAAAAAACAATGCCCCTATGATGGGGGCAAACTTGATTTGGCACCAGCCCTGGTGTTTTCCATGGGAATGATGGCGGGGGCTGTGGCCAACTGTGGGAATAGTGCAAATCAGCACTTTTTTGTAGATTTCCTTCAAGCCATTGTTTATTTTGGCTTTGGTCAGATCCGTGGCCCAGCTTGAAGATTCCCACTGGGCTTTCTGAAACTCGCAGACCTATGAGAGATGGAACAGGGATAAATAAATAATTACAAACACCCTTCCCCCACCAGGGCAGTCATGCACGTGCGCGCCTGTCTTGGAGGTGCATATATGTTACAGTACTGTATATCTGACCCATGCCACCACTGGGGAATGAAAGAGAAAGCAAAGTTTTTTCTAGGCTTAGCTGTTTCATTGTCTCAGTACCAACTTTCTTTTGGGGCAAGAGAGATCAGAGCTGTTTCACACAAGGGCTGGTTTTTGCAAAATGGCATTGGAGAAAGCTTGTTTGAAACTGCACACAGGACGTCTTCCTAACATCTGTAGACGTTTACAGGCATTTCCACATGAGTTACTCAGGTTGTGGTTCCCAAAACAAAAAAAGTCAGTAATTGTTCTAATAATGGGAGATGAACTTTTATCTCCAGCACTTAGAAGGAGTGCTCTATCGTAGCCAAAGGATTCGGGGATCACCCAGGCAAAATTTGTCACAAGATGGAAAATGAGCAACGCGTATGTGTGGTATAATTATATTATGGTCCAAAATATGAATATGTTGGCTTTAAAATGACAGTTGCTAATTGTTCCTGTCATATCAGTAGCAGGTTATTATGTTTTTAAAAGTGCACAAAGGCTTTCTTGAAGGCTCTGGGAGGGAGTGTGCATGTATACATACTCTGTAAGTTTTATACATTTCTTCACAGAGAAATGTATTTTCCTTTCTTTTTTTTTTTTTTAAGGTTTCCATGTTCTGTAAGAGTTTTTATGACAATGTATATAAAGCTGCCTCTGAGTAGGATGGCTGCATCGCACACCTCCAGGGGGCAGCATTGCCTGTGTCCTCTATATAAATGGTTCCCCTGGAGGAAAACTCCAGGTGGCCTTGCAAAGTAACCATATTTAGATGGGCTTGTCATAGAGATATTTTCCAAGGAAGTGCAGAAGAGTCTTGTTCACTACATCTTGTTCCTTTCTTAGATACAAGTTGTATCAGAATAGGGGACTCAGGCCCTGGCCTGGGTTTGGGTTGGAAGAAAAAGATCTTACCATGGGCCAGAGTGTGCTAAGTCAGATACAATTTAATATACAAGCATCTTATCAGACATTTCAGTGATGTGAAAACTTAGGCCAAGAGAGGTTAAGGGACTTGTCCAAGCTTACACAGTCTGTATGCAGCAGAGGTGGGATTTGAACCTTTTTCTTTGGCACTCTAGAGCAGCCAATTATTAATTATCCCCTGAGGCCTCCAGTACTTCCCAGGGCTGGAGAGCAGCCATGACTGCTGACAGCAATGGCAGTGAAACAATGTCAGCTGGGGTAGGGGTCTTCAGAGGCAAAAGGTGGAATTCAGTGAGGGAGGCAGGAGGGTGGTTCCTAAGCTGCCACTTCTGCCTCTCGGTCAAATAAAAGGGAGCCAGGTGTGGAGGTATCCTGGTGTGAGCTTTGCACAGCTGAACCAAGGCTGGGGAGAGGAGTGTGGAGAGGCATGCTGACATCTCCTCCTACTTCTGGAAAATAACTTTGCATTTGAAGGGAGAAAGGAGTGAGTAAATCTGTAACTCGGATTTGGGCGGCCTGGGATTTCATTTGGCTGTGTGAAGGCACACACAGGTGCCTGCAAGTGTGTGCGTGATTACGTATGCACGTGTGTCTGTGTGTAGGAGTGTTTGTGTGGGGGGGCGGGGGTCTTCTGGTTACATACATGGTTCCCTTCTTCCCATTTGGATTGAGGGCTCTTATTTAAGTCATAGCAGCCATGTATGGGGACCTAACTATGTGCCTGGCATTGTGCTGAACACTTTTTGAGCTTTTTTCTGTGAAAAAATTTGTTTTTATGGAGGTGCAAGCAGAGACATCACGTATTTTTTTTCCATTTCTGTTAAAACACAATGTTCTACTCTGTGGAAAGACTTGGGGAGAGGCAGAGAAGGCTGCGGGGCGGCCAGGGGCGGTTCCTGCCTCGCTAGTCTCCACCTTTTATTTTGACCGGTCCGTGGCGATAGGCTCGCACTAGGACCCAGGCGCCAGAGCGCCTCCGTCTGTCCTGTAGGTTCATTCAATCTCTCATACACACAGACCCACAGCGAGACCGACACACACTCCCATACACTCACACACACAACTGCAGGCAGCGAGGCTCGGGAAGTCAGGCCGGCTCCTCGCCCCGGCGCCTTCTCCGCTCCAGCCGGCCGGGTCTCCCTGGGGGCCCGGAGCTCGGCCGGGCCGCGCAGCCCCGTTAGAGGAGGAGCTCGGCGGACCCCCGTTCCTCCATGGGCAAACGCGGGCGGCCGCGCAAGGAGGCGCGCTGCGAGGGCGCGGGGCTGGCCCCCGCCGCGCCCCCGGCTGTGCCCCCCGCCGTGGCCGCGCCCCAGACCCCGGCTCTGCCCGAGGAGCCCGCCGGGGCCAAGCCCAGGTGCCCCTTCTCGGACATTTTCAACACCAGCGAGAACTCGATGGAGAAGCACATCAACACTTTTCTGCAGAACGTGCAGATTCTGCTCGAGGCCGCCAGCTACCTGGAGCAGATCGAGAAAGAAAACAAAAGTAAGTTTGGGGGCCCCTGCTCTTCCTCGGCGCCCGACTCTTTCTTTCTCGCCCACTTGGGCGATCCCTGTAGCGAGCTCGGCCAGCGCCTCCCCCCGCCCCCCCCCTGCTCCGCCAGCCCCCAACATACACACATCCAGCCCTTGGCAGTAAAGCCGATGACACTGGAGAAAGGACACGCACGCACAAAGCTGCTAAAGATGTAACAAAGACCGGCAAGGAGGAGACAGGGGCCTGTCGGTGCGTCGGTCTGTCCGTCTCCGGCGGGCTGGGGCTGGGAGGATGGCCCCGCGGAGGAGCGGGGGAGTGTTGTTGTTTGCTGACAACTGAGCCGAGAGCTCATCTCTTTGAGGTCGCCTTTCTTCCTTTTTCTTTTCTTTTTCTTTCCGGAGCCTTCTCAGGCAGACAAGTGTTGTTTTTCTGTCGCTCGTTCCTGGATGGGGTGGGGATTAGAAGAAAGTTGGAAACCATAGGCAGAGCTCAGAGGTTCCAGAAAGAAAACACACAGACACACACTACAACAATAACAACCAAACAGCTCTCCACGGCGTGGGCTCGGCTGTGTGTCTCTCTCCTCCTTCGCCTTTTTCCTTTCCTCTCGCAGCAGGACTGGGCTCAGGCCATCATGTCCACGGACACAGTCCCCCTGCACCTCCGTTGTCCTGGGGTGCCACCGCCAACCCCCCCCAAAAAAGAGGCCGGCGGGGCCAGGCAACGCCAGCAGCTCGCCCTGGACACGCCGTCCTGAGCCCGAGAAACTTGGCCGTGGGGACGCGGCTAGAAGGAAACTTTGGGATCTTGCAGAAACAATAGTTAGGGAAGAAGGTGTGGGCTGTTGTGTGCTTTTTCTTTATTTTCCGGGAAACGGCTCCTGAGTGAGCGCGCAGGGCAAGCCAGGCAAACGCCTTCCTGGTCGATTTCTACCTCCCCCTCCCACCTCCAGATTCACGTGGAGAGCAGTGCGTGGGTGGGGGTGTGCTGGGAACCGCACCCTGGCTTGGCCTCTTTTTTGTATTTATTTGTTTCATTTTTGCCACTACCAGCCAGGTCCCCCAGCTTTCCCCAGGCAGTCGACTCAGCGCCCTAACGGGGGCACGCGTGTGCAGCGTATCCAGCACGGTCCTCAGAATAATAGCTATGAAAAGGAGGGGGACTAGGCAGACAGACCAACAGACAGGAGGAAACCGGGATGTTTAATGTGTCCGAACAAGTAGGAAGATCAGTGAGGCGCGAGTGTGTGTGTGTGTGTGTGTGTGTGAGAGAGAGAGAGAGAGAGAGAGAGAGAAGAAAGGTCCGATTGCAACGTGTCAGATCTTGCAACCTTCTCCCCCCACCCAACACAACCCTCAGACACAAAAACACTATCGCTGACCGACACCCCAGGTCTTCAGGGTCAAAGTAACCGTGTGTTGGCAGCGCAATTGTGCAGACGCTGTAAGGCCAAAACAAGGATTTGTGTTGCGAGGTCGGTGGTGCGTTCTTTTCTTTCTCTTCTCGCCTGTTTTCCCGGAGTGCCTGGGTTGCGAGAGAGGCGCATCACAGGCTGTGTAGCCGAATCGCTTCGCAATTATTCATGGTAGTGGTGTGCTATGTGTGCATTTGTCTGGAGGGTAGTTTCTGAAAAGCCAGAGCTGGTGGGGAGCTGGGTGAAGACGTGGTTTTGTTTGGTGTGTTTGCTTTTGTTGCAAGGGGGAGGGGCGCGATTTCTTTAGCTATCCTCTTCCCGGCTCCCAGTTCTCTGGAGTCTGTCCCGTGGCGTCGGCTTGGACTAGGGGTACACCCCAAGAGGGCACCTTGGCAGTGTGTGGCGACCCTGGCTTGCCCCCCCCCACCCCCCAGAGAGGTGTGTTGAGGCAGTCGGAGCTTCCTCAGCGTCCCGCCCCCACTTCGCACCCGCAGACAATCGGAGACCTCCCCCCGCCCCACCCCCCACCCCGCCGCCCTGGCCGCCGCCACCTCGTTGTTTACCCCGTGCTGGGGCTCCGGCGTGGCCACCAGTCACGTAAGCAGAGAGCCGGGCGCGGGCTCGGGCTGTCCCGCGCGGGGCGGGCCCGTGGCGGCGTAACCGGGCTCCAGAGGCTGTTGAAGCCGAGGGGCTTCCTCCTAGCTTGTCTCCCAAGGCGTCCGCCCTGCAAATCTGCCAGCCCCCAAGAGGGGCTAGGAACCTTAGCGCCCTAGTCCAAGTCAACTTCGTGTGCGTAATAAGTCCCTCGGCCGCGCAGCCCCCCTCCTCCGGCCGGCTCCAGGCTGGAGTATTTTTAGCTCTCTCGCCGCTTCTCGCCGCTGCTGTTTGGCTCTAAATGACGTGATGCCAACGGCCCCCAGATTTCCCCGAGAGGTTGGGGCGCTGCGCCGTGCCCAGTTTGGCTGCAGAGACCCTGCTCCAGGCCCTCGCCCCGTCCCCAACAGCTCGGACAGGCTAGGGTGACCAACGGTAAACTCCGTGCGACCAGCCGCCAGGCCCTCTGTTATACCCCCTGCAAACAGAGGCGGCCCACAGGGGCCACTTTATCCCACCCCCTCTCCTCTCCTCCTCCTGCCGGGTCTGGGTCTCTGGGTACGGAAAACGGCGGGCCCTACATCTGTCTCGTTTTATGGGGGGGCGCGTCTTCGCGCCGGCGGCGCTCGCCGTTGTTTTCTGCTCGCTGCACACAATGCCCGCGCGTCACGGCAATCCGCGTGTGCACAGCAATAACGCGAGTCGGGGGCGGGTCGTGCGTGCGCCCGGCTCGGGCACTGCGGGTCGCTCCGCGCGCGCGGGGCTTGTTTTGCTCCGGAGCTCTGCTTTCCGAAACGCTTACATCATTCAGTCGTTGGGGGAGGGAGAGGGATCTGGGCGTTCCGATAGGATTCCAGCATCTACCAGGTCCCTGGTTTCTGGAAGGAAGCAAGGACCCTGGCTTTTTAGTTATTATTGTTGGGGTGGGGTGGGGTAGTTTGTTGTGTACGCCTTTTTTTTTTTTTTTTTTTTTAGGTCACTACTGCAAAGGGCATTGCTGGCCGGCTCAGGTGCACAATCTCTCCGCCTTCATTTCAGCGAGTTCCCCTGTAATCACTTGATCTCGGTTTCTCCGCCTTCTCCTCCTCCCCCTCCCAGCTAGAGACACATGGTTTCCACATGGAGACAAACTTCTTTCCTCCGACTGGACTTGACCTAGCTGCGCCATTCAGCCAATCGGCAGCTCCACCCTCTTCTGACGTCACGCGTTGCTGAGGCTGGAGGCTTGGGGGTGGAGCCAGGATGCAAGCCAGGAAATCTCTGGGAGCTGTAGTGCGGCCAGCTGGTCCAGTCTCTTATTGAAGGGACGCTCTTCTCCCTGGAGATGAGTGTCGGGCCCGATTCTCCATTTCAGGTTCTGTGAGACCTTTTTGAGATGCATGGTGAACCCTGAGCTAACACGTTCCATTTTGACTGCTGCTTGCAAAGTACTTACTTGGCAGGAGCTTGCTTTATTTTCCGTCGTAGCCAGAACTGGTTTTCGTTGCCTTGTTGAGGTTTCCGTACTGGTAGTGTTCACCAAGTTGTGGCCCAATTGCTGAATTATTTCCAGTAGAGAGGTTGAGTTTTCTTGGGGGAGGGGTTCACATTAAGTCACCCAGTGTTGACTCTATGTGCTAGGCAGGGAATTCCCTAGGAAAGGCAGGTACATTCTCCCAAAATTCCAACTGATGTGAATCTCTACGGATCAAAAATTGAAGGCCTCTAGAAATATTAATCATGAAGGCTGTGACCCTATTGCCACAAATGCAGAAGTTACATGTAAATAACCTCTAACATCATCACCTACATGCATTTTGAGTCCAGTGGAAGGGTAGGAATTAAGGACTGACTAATAAGTAGAAAAAGATTTTGGATAAGGTTAAAACTAAAAGAGAAGAGGAGATTCATAAAGGGATGTTATGTGCATAAGAGCTGGTTGGCAGGTAAGTGAAAGAAGCTGTGAGAGCATGTAAGGTCTAAGACGGAGGAAAGAAATGGGCTTCCCAGTGTCTGGGGGAGGTTGTTTTGGAGGCAACACTTAAGATAGGGAAGGACGATCAGATGAGAGTAGAAAGCCATAAGGCTCCTTGGAGTGGATCAACTGGGTTTCAGGGTGGGGTGCTTTCCTAGGGGCATGGACAGCCCAAGAAGCAGCCTCTTCATCCTGGTAGGGGAAGCTGCTGTTGTGTGGTGTTATTTGGCCCCACCCTGCCTTCCTGACTTGATCTCCTCTGCCTTGCCCTGAAACCTCTGTGTCTGCCCAGCAGGTACACCAGCAAGCAGGCTTCACAGTCGAACCTCTGTGCTTGACTGTTACTCTTCCTGTCTAGAATGCCTTCATTCTCTTACTCCCCTAGAGATATCTGTATCATACCTTCTCTTCAAGACTTAGGTCAGTTCCCACCTCCTCCAGGAAGCTTCCCCTGGCTATTTCAGCATATTTGGCTCTATTTCTTAAGTCATTGTAGTTGAGAGGATGAAAGCTTTGCAGTCATGTGGAGCAGGGCCCAACTTGCTACTCTACTGTTTACTAGCTATGTGCCTTTGGACACAACCTACTTAGCCTCTCTGATGTTCCATTTCCTTTTTGCAAAATGGGGATAAAAGTATGACCCTTATATCATTGTCAAACAACTAAACGAGGCACTGCACTTAAATATGTAACAAACCTGAAATATAATAGGTGCATGATAAATAGAAACTTCTCTGAGCTTTGATAATCAGTACCATGCACTTCTCTACTTCCTTCATGTGTGTTCGCTTTATCTTTACAAGGAGATTATTAGTAATATAAGAGAAAAGTATCACTTACAGTATTCATTGTATGCTATCCATTGCATATAGCACACCACTGGGCAAAGAGTAGTAGATCCTTAATGTAAATTTCTTGATTGGTTAGATTTGCCATTCACTAGCTATGGTACAAGGATCAGGTTTGGAGGCCAGAGGACACATGACAGCCTTTCTGAAGATTTGGGGAAGAGTCAGAAATACTGATCTCCAACTCCTTTGGGTGGTA